GGTCTTTAGCCCGTTTTAACCGCTCCGCAACCCCTCATGCCTATAAATACAAGCCTTAGGCCTCATTTTATCAGATCTGGAATTTTGGAGATTAGGTGAAGCCCTGCCGGATTGAAGACTGAAGGTGCACGGATTTTAGAGAGGAGGAGGAGAGATCGGATCCAGTTCTTCAACGCAAGAGAGAGAGAGATTCGTCAGATCTACATCACCCATACCCGATCCTTAGTCTTATCCCGTTGTGGTAATACTAAGAAGAGCAAATATCTCACTTTTATCGAGATAGGCGCTTCAAGTTTCTAGATCTTCTCGCGGATCGACGAAGCTCTGCCCAATTTTTCAGCAATCAGATCTGATCGACGGTGGTCCACGGATAAACCCCGGCACAGGCAAAGATCCCACGCAAGCAGAAGACCGATGAACGATCTCTGCGTTTGTTTGATAAAGTTGTAAACTTTTTTTTTATTTTCATTGTGTAAGGAGATCTTATAAAAAGATCAACTTTTTATTTCATTCGAGTTTATTGTAACGACTAAAGTTGTAATAGATTCGATAACAATGGAAATAGCAACTTTCTCCGCAAACACGCTTTGATTACCAAACACACTTAAGCTAAATCATCCTCAAATAAAAAATACAATACTTAGTTCAAAACACATTTTAGGTGTTTTAAGTTTGGTGTTTTGGTTTTGAGTTTGAGGACGTGTTAATATAATATCTAACATAATATATTAAATGTAATTAATATATAGTTATTATCGACATGTTTATTATATTATATTATACTATACTATATATTATAGTTAATTTAATATAATAATAATATTTATTAAATAATATAAAAATATAATAATTAAAATATCTTATATAATAATATAATAACATATTAAATACTAGTATTTAATATGTTGATAATGTATTATAAAATAATAAATAATAATAAAATATAAAATTAAAATAATAAAAAGTTATTAATAATATAATAATGTAAGAATATAATATACAATATTATGATCATTATAATTTTTTTAGCATTAGAAACTATAATATATTGTATAATATTAAAATATTTATAATATGTTAATTTATTAATAATATACTAGTAATAACATAATATTAATATTTTAATAATATAAATTATATTAATAGCATTATAATATTACATTAATAAAAAAATATTTAAAAAATATTATATAATATATAACAATAACAAATTTATATACCAAAATAACTAAATATATTATTATTTGCAAATAATATGTAGTAATTGTAATATAATATAGCACATTAAAGTACAATTTAATATTTATAATATTATAATAATATAAACTTAATATAATAACATCTTAATTTTTACATATTTTATTATAATTAATATATAATATATTAATAATATATTTGATACTAATATTCTAATGGGTCAAACTAGTGTTCACAAA